CGGCCATTGCACTCCAGTCTGGGTGACAGAGTGAGACTCCAACTCAAAAAAAAAAAAGGGAGATGAGAAATTTTCGGAGACTTGCCCAGGGCTAGTGGCGCTAGAATAAGGCCAGCTTGCTGTGCTCTGCGGAGGGAAGACTATGGCACGGCCTCCTCCTCACCCTGGATTCTGCTAACACGTGAGTGACCAGGCTAGACCGTTTCTCTGACCACCTCATCCTGGAGAAGGAAGGACAGCGAGTGGAGATGAAGTGCCTTAGTCTCGTTCCATGAAGAGCTCCCACCCTGAGCAAGGTTCCCGCCTGCCCCTTGGGGAGCTCCCACCCTGAGCAAGGTTCCCGCCTGCCTCTTGGGGACGAGAGCGCCTAGCATGCACGACAGGACAGGCTTTGCAATCAGAAAGACCTGCGTTCTCAAACTGCTACCTCGGCTCCACATTGGGATGACACTAATTGTGTTGTTGTGAGAAAGTGGCACACATATTGCTTCCCCTTCTCTTTTTCTCAGCCAGGAAGTTCAGATGAAGGAGATGGGGGGACCAGCGGGAACCAAGAGTTGGCACCAGAACTCAGATCTAGATGTCCTGACCCCAAGAACGCTCTCCTTGGGTTTTTGCGTTAGGTGCTCCAGATCAGGAGGAAAGAACAATGGGTGGCCCTGCATTGAATTTTATCCTCACTTTCTGCAATCATTCATTCGTTCAGCCAATGCAGTCTTGCTCAGGCATATACGGCGTGCGAGGCGAGGCTCTAGCCTGATGCAGTATAGTTGCAAGACTGGTTCCGGCCCTCCAAGAGCTTGCTGTCTCAATGCCTCCCTGTGCTAACTGAAAACGTAACTCATGTAAACTTCATAGCCGGATGACGTAAATACTTGATCATGCCCACTTTACGGAGGAGGACACCGAGGCACTAAGAGATTCAAGATCTGCAGTGGCGCAAAAACATTCAACTAACGTCTTTTGATGATCTATTCAGTACTCCAGGGGATCCCAATCTATTACGAGAGTGAATAAGAAGTTGCTCTTGTCTGATATCTGCCGTCGTTATTCTCTCACTTCTTTCATTAATATCCCCCCCCACAATAAAACATGCCCCGACAAGTGCCTGAGCGCCGGCAAACAGCAGGCCGCTCGGGGAAAACCCCTCCCCAACCCGCCTGCGCAATCCAGCTGACTTCCGGCTACTTACGCCCACGTGACCAAGGGCCTTTGCTGCGCATGCCCAGTAGGAAGTTGGACGATACCACATTGCCCTCCGGAAGGGGTATCTTTTCTATGTTTTTAAGTTTAAAACCGATTTCCGATATTAGGCTCCTATTATCCCAGGTCTTTACGGAGGATATAAGTGATTTTGGGGTTGGAAGATGAAAGAACTGAACGGGAATACAGACGGAAGTGGAGCGAGTTTGGGCTCTCCCCCTCCCTGTTAATGGGAGAAACCGGGCCTGAGCGAGTTCTTTCCTTTCGCTGCGGCGGCCGCAGCCATGAGGTGAGGTCGCGCGCCTCTCCGATCCCCGGTGATCCGTGCCGGCGGGAGATGGGGGCGCCTAGCACCGCAGCCCGGGGTGGGGGAGATGAGATGGAGGCCGCCCTGATGCGACCGGCCCCGGAGCTCGGGGTAGGCCGGAGCACACGAGTCCCCGGCCTCTCGAGGGTGGGGGTGGGGGAGAGTCGCAGCTGCCCCGGCGGGCGCCGCGTCCTGCACGTGTCGGGGGCGACCCAGGCGGGTGGAGCAGAGGCAGCGGCGGAGACCGAGCCGTGGACCTCTTCCTTGCTGGGCGCGCCCGGAGCCCCGCAGGTCCCCTGCTCTCTCGTGACGTGGGACAAGCCTAGCGCGGGCCCCAGGCCTCCGACTACCGAGAGAGCGAGGGTGGGGATCCCTAACTCTGTCGCCTTTTGCTCCGCTGGTCTCTCATCTCTAAGGGTGACAGGACGTGACTTATTTCTGTAACAGGAGGAAATGAGCCCGGAAAGTAGAGTGATTTGCCTGCTTTCCTAGACTAGGAGTGAGGTCCGCTGACCACGGTTATTCTAGACACTGTTTATTGCAGCTGAATACCAGAAATGGCGTGAAGCCTGTCTCCGTTCCAGTTCAGTCGTTAACCTCTTTTCGGAGGAAATTGCTGAGGCTCAGAAAGGTTAAGGCATAGTTTGGGCTTTACAAGGCTAATCCCGGGTGGCCTGCTGCATAGCCTGGGGCTTTAACATAAAAGTCATGACTTATTTGGGGGCTGTAGTGTGGGTGATTAAAAAGTCTTGGGACGAGAGGGGAATCTTTTCTTTGTCTTTAATAGTAAGTGCATATTCATGTTTGTTTTCTCATATGTTTCACAACACCGAAAAACTTTAGAGAGCAGGTCTTGGTGAAGATGATCATCCTTGCCTGGGAGTGGCTTCCAGTGTCTAATACTGTTTTCTGTGTCCAGTATGCTCAGGCTTCAGAAGAGGCTTGCCTCCAGTGTCCTACGCTGTGGCAAAAAGAAGGTCTGGTTGGACCCCAATGAGACCAATGAAATCGCCAATGCCAATTCCCGTGAGTATTTGGGGTCTGTCTCCTTACCCTGCCCCTTAGCAGCTGCTCCAGATGCATGATAACAATTGTGTTGATTCTCTGCAAACTCAGGAAGGCTCATAGCTCAGGGGACCTATAAAGTGGAGGAGTTATTGTAGCAAGCTTGGTCTTTTTTTTTTTCTTTTTTCTTTTTTTTTAATTTGGATCCGCACTTTGTCACCTAGGCTGGAATGCAGTAGCATGCTCACGGGTGGGCATTGACCTACTGGACTCAGGCAATCCTCCCATCTCAGCCTTCCAAGTTACTGGAACCACTAATTTTTTTATTTATTGGAGAGATGAGGTCTCACTAAGTTGCCCAGGCTGGTCTCGAACCCCGTGACTTAGACAGTCCTTTCGCCTCTGCCTCCCAAAGTACTGGGATTACAGGTCTGAGCCACGACTGCTCCTGGCCTGCAAGTTTGCTCTTTTAAGTGTGCTGTGATAAACTTATTATGGTAGAAATGACCAGGTGTGGTGACCCCACACCTGTAGTTCCAGCTGCTCAGGAGACAGGCAGGGGGATCCCTTGCGCCCAGGAATTTGACACCATAGTGACTCTGTCTCGAAAGGTAAAATGTTTTTTTCTTTTTTGTTTATTTTTTGGTTTTTTTTTGAGTTGGAGTCTTGCTCTGTCACCCAGACTGGAGTGCAGTGGCCGGGAGTGGCCACTGCAGCCTTGACCTGCTGGGCTCGGCGATCCTTCTGCCTCAGCCTTCCAAGTAGTCCTGGCGGGTCTCGAACTCGCGGCCTCAGGCAATCCACTCTCCTCGGCCTCCCAAAGCACTGGGATTACAGGCTGAGCCACCGAGCCCAGCAAAATGTTTTTTTAAAAACAAGAAATGGGGCAACCCTTTTAGGTTCCCTCCCACTGTGGGAGCTTTCCTGTCCTCGCAATAAATCATGTTAAAAACCAAGAAATAGAAGGTACCATATTTCCATTGTTTTTGAGACCACTGGGCCAGGAACGTTTGGCCTGTCTTGTTTGGACTCTGGCATGTGGCTGGGGCTCGATTGACTGACCAGGTACATTGTGCTTTCTCAGGTCAGCAGATCCGGAAACTAATCAAAGATGGGCTGATCATCCGCAAACCAGTGACTGTCCATTCCCGGGCTCGATGCCGGAAGAACACCTTGGCCCGCCGGAAGGGCAGGCACATGGGCATAGGTAAGTACTGTTTTCCCCTTCCTCTAAGACATGAGAAATAGTAAGTGCTGAAGTCTAGAGTAGAGTATATTCAGGATTGTTTTCTTTCTACTCTGTCTCCTCTTGAGTCCCTTTCATACTCCATGATATTTGGTGTGTTTTTTGCCTGTGTGCAAATCAGAAAGTTGGTACTGGTATTGGAACTTAAATTATTCTTGGTAGAAAGAGATCACATTTAGTAAGTCCCTACGCTATGCCAATGAAGACAGTTAAATACTTGGAATCTTCTGTAAAACAGAAGTAATGATATTCAAAATGAGTTTGTGACGATTAAATGAGTTAAAGATCCATCTGCTGACTCTGATAACTGTCTTGAAACGTGTGTTGCAAAGGGCTTGGGTAGTGGCTAATTTCTGACACCTCCCTCGCAGGTAAGCGAAAGGGGACAGCCAATGCCCGGATGCCCGAGAAAGTGACCTGGATGAGGAGGATGAGAATCTTGCGTCGGCTGCTCAGGAGATACCGTGAATCAAAGAAGATCGATCGCCACATGTATGCATGCCCCCTTGAGCCCATGATCTGTCTGCTGCTCTGCTAGCTTGTCGTTTCTTTTTTTTTTTTTAATTGGAGTCTCACTCTGTCACCCAGGCTGGTGTGCTGTGGCACACTCACTGCCACTGCAGCCTCAACCTGCTGGGCTCAGGCAATTTTTCCGCCTCAGTCCTCCAAATAACTGGAACTGTAGGCACGCGCTACCACACCTGGCTAATTTTTTGATAATAGAGACGAAGTCTCACCAAGTTGCCCAGGGCAGTCTCAAACCTGCGGGCTCAGGCAGTCCTCTCATCTCAGCCTCCCAAAAAGTGCTGGTATTATAGGCTTGAGCCACCATGCCCAGCTGGCTTGTTTTCACAGAGCTCTGCTCACTGCCCTCAGGGAGGGAGTCTGTCTAAGAAAGTCTTTCCATTTTGGTCTGTTTTTTCCCCCTTACGCTTTCTCCTTTTTTTTGAGTTGGAGTCTCACTCTGTTGCCCAGGCTGGAGTGCAGTGGCCGCTCCCGGCCACCGCAGCCTCAACCTGCTGGGCTCCGGTGATCCTTCTGCCTCAGCCTTCCAAGTAGCCGGAATTACAGGCATGCACTACCACGCCCGGCTGACTTTTTGATTTATTGTAGAGATGAGGTCTCACTGCCCAGGCGGGTCTCGAACCCGCGGGCTCAGGCAATCCACTCACCTCAGCCTCCCAAGGGCGCGGGATTACAGGCTGAGCCACCGAGCCCAGCACCCCTCTTACGCTTTCATGGTGGCCTGATAATTTACTTTATTTGCTAGGCAAGTTCTTCTATCTAGGAATTGTACAGAAAGTCCTAGTCTGGGAGGAAGAGTCCATGCATTAGCAGAGAGGAAAGGAAACCTGCAAGCTTAGTGGCCTTGGGTAGAAGAGCTGCTCACGGGCCCACTCAGATCCCATCGCTGACTGGACCCTCTGCTCCTTGGCCCCCCAGGTATCACAGCCTCTACCTGAAGGTGAAAGGGAATGTTTTCAAGAACAAGCGGATCCTCATGGAACACATCCACAAGCTGAAGGCAGACAAGGCCCGCAAGAAGCTCCTGGCGTAAGTTTCTTCAGCACTTGGCCTTCGTGTCTCGGGGACAGGTGCTTCTAGTGTTGTGGTGGGACAACTCCTGACTGGCGTGCCATCTGTCGGGGACACAGCCGTTGCATTAGAGGCATCTGCCCGTCCCACACACAATTTTATCCTGCCTAGCTTTGGTGTAGGGACTGTAGGTTGTCAGAGCAGGAGTTCTTGGACTCAGCAGCTCGTTCCTCATGCTGGCTAGGCTTATGGAGAGGGGTCTGGACATGTCCTTGTGTCCCCCAGCATCTCATCTCTTTCCATGCTGACCATTTTTTTCTTCCCTTATCAGGGACCAGGCTGAGGCCCGCAGGTCTAAGACCAAGGAAGCGCGCAAGCGCCGTGAAGAGCGCCTGCAGGCCAAGAAGGAGGAGATCATCAAGACTCTGTCCAAAGAGGAGGAGACCAAGAAATAAGGGTCCTGCCCTCGTCTGTACATAGTGGCCTCGGTGGCTGCAAATACAGCTTTCCTGCTTGTCTCTCTGCCTCTTGAAATGTTCCTAGCTGCTCGGTGGGTCTTAACTGTTCAGAGGCCCAGAGTGCACCACACCCATGACTGGGACGCAGGCCCTTGCCATGAGTCCCTGTTTTATTTCTCTCTTCTGCTAAAGGTCGGGTTCATGCCCTTCCATCCTGAGAGATGCGTTTTACCTTGTTTTGGTGAGATGTGGGGAGGAATGAATGGCTTCTGCCCAAGCCTCCAAAATACTGTGTTTCAAAACTGCACAGCATGAGTGGCACCTAGGAAGTCTCCAGGTGTTGGCTGGGACCAGATGGGACGTTGTTGGGGGAGCCATGTTCTTTTAAAAAACAGGAAATGCTTGGCATGCTTATGCTTCTCGACTTAATCCGCCTCCCTGGGACTCCAGAACAGTGGGGCTTCCAGCTGCTGCCAGTCCAGAAGCTCAGACCCTAGCTTTAGCTACTACCGCCATAAACAGCTTCACTGATGCATTATGGAAGCTGTTTTACTTGGAACTAAACCTTTTTTCTTCCTGCCTTTTAAGAGTTTGTCGTAGTTTGGACCCATCATGTAGGGCACAAAGAACAAGTCTCTCACCCTGAACGTTAAGAATACAGCCCTCCTCCCCTTATCCGTGGTTTCAGTCATCCCTGGCCTGAAGATACTAAATGGAAAAGTCTAGAAGTCATGTTTTAACATTGCGTGCCATTCTGGTAGCGTGATGAAGTCTCACTCCCACCTGGGATGTGAGTCGTCCCTTGGTATGTCCACACTCTGCCACCTGTCTGGGTCAGGTGGACAGTGGAGATAGTGCAATGCTTGTGCCCAAGTGTCCCTTATTAATGGCTCCAAAGCCCAAGAGTAGTGATACTGGCAATTTGAGTATGTTAAAGGAGCTGTAATTTTTTTTTTTTTTTGAGTCTCACTGTCACCCAGGCTGGAGTGCAGTGGTGTGCTCATGGCCACCACAGCCTCAACCTGCTGGGCTCAGATGATACTTCCTCAGCCTTCCAAGTGGTTGGAACTACAGACACTTGCCGCTATACCTGGCTCATTTTTTGATTTACTGTAGAGACAAGGTGTTGCCAAGTTGCCCAGGCTAGTCTTGAATCCCGGGGCTCAGGCAATCCTCTTGCCTTGGCTTCCATGTTGCTGGGATTGTATGAGCCACAGCACCTGGTTAGAAAGTGGGTTTTGTTTTGCCACTTGACTAATTAAAATAACTGCCAATAAGGTTTTCCACAAAGTATCTGCTGTGAGCCTAGTGTCAGTGGGCGCTGGACTTACATTGATTTTCTAACTTTCACAAGATTGTCAAGCCCAGCTATCACCATCTTGCAGATGAGAAACTTGTGAAGGGGCATGTAGGAGTCAAACAGCCTCAACTAAGGTGGTGTTGCATCGGGGTAAGGATTGGCAGACCTTGCTTGTGGGGGCTGAGGAAGTCTGTCTAGTCCCAGACCCAAGGCCTTCAGTCTTTGGGGGTCAGAAGTGGGAACCAGTTGGGTTGGGGAGAGTGGCCAGAAGAGTGGACTTTTGGATCCATCTAGCGGGTGGTGGTTTGAGGGACAAGTGTCTGGGCGGAAGGGGTCAGGCAGCTAGTTAAATACAGGCAAGGGGTCGAGCTTGGAGTGACAGAATGGAGGGGAAGATTGAATAGCAAGCCCACCTCCTTTGACCCTGGGTACACCAAGGCTGGCCTGCCCTGCTAGTTACCTCCCAGCCCCTTACTCCCACCCGTAAGGACTCTGATTTTGGGGTGGCCAGTTGGCACCCTTCGGGTGATGTACTCAGCAGATGGGAAGTGGCAGCACCTGAGTGGCAAAGGGAGATCTGGTGAGGTGCTGGGGACAGCGGGCCTCTCTGCCTCTGGTATCCTCATTCAGTTCTTTTAAAATTTATTTTAATTTTCTTCTTAGATTAGAAAATACAGTGTATTTGAGTAAGTTTGAGAGAGAGAGAGAGAGAAGATTCACCTCCCTGAGGTGGGGGAGGAGGCCAAAGCCCGGAGGCATGGCGACAGCCGTAGCTCAAAGAGCACGTGGCCACACCGGAGTCTAGCAAGGCAATGGCCTATTTTAAATTTATTAGCTGGGCTCAGTGGCTCATGCCTGTCTTCCCAGCACTTTAGGAGGCAGAAGCGAGAGGACTGCCTGATCCCGGGGTTCAAGACCAGCCTGGGCAACATGGCAAAACCTCATCTTTCAGTCAAAAAATTAGCCAGCGTGGTGGCACATGCCTGCGGTTTCAGCTATTTGGAAGGCTGAGGTGGAAGGATCACCTGAGCCTAGCAAGTCGAGGCTGCCGTGGCTGTGAGCAGTGTGGTACTGCACTCCAGCCTGACTGACAGAGTGAGATTCTGACTTAAAAAAGCCAGGCGTGGTGGCTCATGCCTATAATCCCAGCACTTTGAGAGGCTGAGAGGCAAGGATTGCCAAAGTCCACGGGTTCAAGACCAGCTTGGGCAACTTGGCAAGACCTCATTTCTACAATAAAAAAAAAATTACCCGGGCGTCGTGCCTGTAGTTTTGGCTACTTGGAAGGTTGAGGTGGAAGGATTGCCTGAATCCAGGAGGTTGAGGCTGCAGTGGCCATGAGTGTGCCAGTGCACTCCAGCCTAGCGGACAAAGTAAGACTCCGACTCAAAAAAAAAAAAAAAAAAAAAAGCCCCGGTATGGTTGCTCAAGCCTGTAATCCCAGCACTTTTGAGAGGCTGAATTAAGGGGTTTCCCTCAGTCCACAGGTTTGAGAACAACCTGGGAAACTTGGGGAGACCTTATCTCTACAATAAACCAAAAAGTTAGCCAGGTGTGGTGGTGTGTGCCTGTAGTTCCAGCTACTTGGGAGGCTGGGGTGGAAGGATCCCCTGAACCCAAAATTCGAGGCTGCGGTGGCCATGAGCATGACACTGCATTCCAGCCTGGGCAAGGGAGTGAGATCTTACCTAAAAAAAAAAAAAAAATATATATATATATAATTATTTTTAGAGTCAGGGTTTCTAGCTGGAGTGCAGTGGCACAATCATGACTCGGCACCCTCCAATTCCCACCATCATCCTGCCTAGGTCTCCCAAAGAGCAGGGATTACAGGCTTGTGCCCACCCTCATCCAGATCTGGGCACATGGGGGAGGGAGGTGAGGCAGAAGGCAAGGAAGCCCAGACTCAGAAATGTCCCGGGGAGCCCCGCCCCATGCACCAGAGCCCTGGAAGAGAGGACACTGACTTCTGGGGCCCCTTGTTGCCCCTGGAGCCGCCTGTGTGCCTTCCCTCTTAGCTCTGGCTCTAAAGCCTTTGCCATCCGAGTGGGGTAGGGGGACCTTGGCCAAGCTCCCATGTTGGCACGCCGGACGCCTCCTTTCCAAGCCTGGTCCAGAGGAGGAAGGGTATCGGAGACCGCCCACCCCCAAACCAAGCATGGGCCCCTCCCCAAGCTCCGGAGCCTGCAGCAACAGAAGCGGCTCCCACCACGAGCCAGGAGGTGGCGCTGTTCTCTCATGGGTCGCTGCGGGTGTGGCCGCTGTCTCGGGAGTTTTGGGTTTTGGGGGAGGGGCGAAGGGATGGTTTGGGTTGTAGGAGTCTACCTCCCGGGAAACCCTCGGTTTCATGACTTCTTTTTGAACTGCACTCCAGGCCTGGAGTTGACCTCTTTCCATCGACGGCCTGGGCAGGGTCCATTCCCACAGGAGCCAAAGGCACAAAGAACCCTAAAATAACTGCTGGATCTCTCCCAGGTCCTGAAGCCTTGTGAAAATCTGATTAAAGGATGTGTCGCCGGGCTCGGTGGCTCAGCCTGTAATCCCGCGCTTTGGGAGGCTGAGGTGAGTGGATGGCCTGAGCCCGCGGGTTCGAGACCCACCAGGGCAACTTGGTAAGACCTCATCTCTACAATAAATCAAAAAATTAGCCGGGCGTGGTAGCGAGCGCCTGTAGTTCCGGCTACTTGGAAGACTGAGGCGGAAGGATCGCTGGAGCCCAGCAGGTCGAGGCTGCGGTGGCCGGGAGTGGCCACTGCCCTCCAGTCTGGGCGACCGTGAGACTCCAACTAAAAAAAAAAATAAGAAAATATAAAAAGATGTGTCCTGCCAGGTGTAGTGGCCTGTGCCTGTAGTCCCAGCTACTCCAGAGGCTGGGGCAGGAGGATCGCTTGAGCCCAGGAGTTCGAGGCTGTGGTGTGCTATGATTACACCAGTGATTAGACTCAGCGCCCTAGCCTGGGGACATAGCAAGACCTTGTCTCCAAAAATAAAATAAAATTATTTATTTATTTTTTGAGTCGGAGTCTCACTCTGTTGCCCAGGCTGGAGTGCAGTGGCACGCTCACGGCCACC